AAATTGGTGCAGCGGTTACCAAGATATACACATTTAACTATAAGTGGGCGTGGCTACGCCCATTTTCATAAAGTGTTTAATATTCTTATTTTTCGTCTAAAATTTGTTCTAAATGTCAATTTTGAGTGAATTAGCTTCAGTAGTTACTAAAATATCGCAGTTTTCGTATTTCTGAAAATTACCGTTATATGGGAGGTAGGCGTGGTTATTGTCCGATTTCGCCCATTTTCAATACCATCCGTCCTACGCCCAAAAGAAGTTCACGTACCAAGTTTCGTTAAGATATCTCAATTTTTACTCGAGTTATCGTGTGCACAGACGGACGGACGGACGGACGGACGGACGGACGGACGGACAGACAGTCACCGCTTAATCGATTTCTCTTTTCATTCTGATCATTTATGTATACATTTGTCTATATCTATCTCGATTCGTTTTGCCTGTTACAAACAACCGTTATGTGAACAAAGTTATAATACCCTTGTGCACAAGTGCGCTCGGGTATAAAAAATCTTGTACCAGTACAAGAACCGGTTCGTAAGTATCCATGAACCGCGGTTCGATTCGGTTCAAATGGTTCAATTTTTTTTAGGCTAAAGAATACAAATATTACGAAAATATGTTTCTAACTTTGTGCAAAAATTATGATGACTCTGCAAAGCTTCATCTAAATTGCAAACTTTTTAATAAGAATTTCTAGAAAAATGTTAAAGTTTTAGTTGATTTTTGGCAATATTTTTATGGATTCTTTTTTTTTGTTTGTTTTGAAGAAAATGCGTAATATCCTCAACAAAAAATTAATGACCTTATTCATAAAAAATAAAGTAGCTTTAAAGAAGATTTATAAACTGAAAAATGTATGAAAACGTTAATTTATAAAGCTCTTTAAACCTTTATTTTATTTTTTTTTAATAAGGCTGTAAGTATTTAAAATCAATGTGATAAAGGTGAAATTAGACATTTTTTAATCAACTTTTTTAAGGTGAGGACAAGACGTGAGTCTATGTAGTCGAGTAGATAAAAACAGCATACTCATAATTTTGAATTTATACTAAAAGATCTTGGGTTAATTTCAACATTAATCATTTTCTTTAGGTAAGAACTTATATCATATATATATATTATATATATCATCAACTTTGCATATACAAGAATACCTAAGGTCAAAATAATAAATAGGAGTGCGACATTTGGCTATTTTTATTTTCTTCGTTTAATGTTCATTAATGTTTTTTATAAGAGTGTGAATCCAAATTTCAAACTTTGTACGAAAATTAGAGTAAATTAACAAACTTCAAAAAAATTGCATTTAAGTTTTAAACTTTTATTCAAAACATGTTAAGTGGAAGTTTGAAATATCTTAAAATCCGCATTGATTGTTGATTTTTTTTGTTGGTGGTGTTAAGCGTTTTTAGAAAAAATTTGTATTGTGTGTATCCATTTTTTTTGGAGTTGTTTTCGGTTCGATCTTGGGATTTCAAAATAAAAGCGGTTCGGTTCGAAGCCTGTAAAAAGCGACGGTTCAGTTCAAACACCG